TCTGACATGTATATAAGTGTGTATATATTCTGTATGTGTGTGTTTATTTATATTCGGACATATGTATATGTGTGTATGTGTGTATTCCGACATATGTATATATGTGTATGTATATTCTGACATGTATGAACGCCGGTGTATGTGTGTGTGTGTGTGTGTGTGTGTGTGTGTATATATATATATACACACACACACTATATTCTGAGATATCTATATATATGTGTGTGTGTATTATGACATGTATATGTGTATATAGATTCTGACAGTTATACGACTTGTCTGGAGTTCCCCTAGTACCATGCAGTCGTGGACAAGACTTACTTACTTACTTAGGCGATCCGCTGGACCGGCCACGTTAGGGCCAGTCCATCTGTGCGATTTTCTTGCAACAGCTGCGGTTATGATCCATGGTTTCATCTGCTTCCTTGCACAATCTGTATTTTGGATCATCCGCTGATTTTTCAATCCTGGCCTTAATTGCATTGTTTCTGATGGCTTGCTCCTGGGCTGCAAGAACCAGGCCTTCTTCTGTCTCCTTCTTCTGTGTTGCATCCGTGAGCCATCACCAGGTCTTCTCCTTGTCCACTTTTCCTTCAATTTTGCCAAGGAACTGCTCATGCAATGCTTTGTTGTGTCAGCTGTCAGCTCTGGTTTGGAGTGCAGTTTTCTTGTACTGACTCTTTGTCTGCTGTGCTTTGAGAAGTTTCTGATTATTGACTTCAATCAAAGCAGGTTCTTCATATTCTTCATATTTCCATATTCTGCCAGGGCATGTTTTTCTTCTTCAGCTGCTTCTTTTACTTGTAAAAATCCTCTGCCCTCAGACTTTCTAGGCAGATAGAACTGGTCAACATCACTGCGAGGATGTAGTGAATTATGAATGGTCATGAGTTTTCTTGTTTTTCTGTCCAAATTGTCTGCTTGCGTCCAGTTTATGATGCCAGCAGTATATCTTATGACAGGTATGGGCCAGGTGATTATGTAATTGGTATTCCACTGGATTCCACTGGATCCAATACCAATGATGATGATGATGATTATTATTATTATTGTTACCTTCCTCAAAGCAGGAGACAACAGACTTAAAATATATCATCATGATAAAATGAATTCAATAAAATGAATATATTGAAACTGAATATATTAAAATATATATTAATATATTCAGTTTAATATATTAAATATATTAAAAATGAATATATTTCTATAAAATGCATGTATCAGAATACATGGACCAAAGATTCAAACACAATAGACATAGAATATGAATTTAAAATTCATAGTTAAGGACAACAGGGGAAAAGGAATTGGTTGAAAAGTGGAATTCAGGATTTATATTTCAACTCCCATGAGTCTTCCTAATTTTTGTTCCCACGTTTTTTTAATGTGATGTTCAATGCTATTAACCTGACATTTCTGTCTTTTCATACAGGGAAATTGTTTTTATTTATACATTCATTTTTATTTTAATCTATCTTTGGAAACCTTGTTTTGAGAGAATATGGACAGGTGCCACGAAGTTAAATTCCTGTTGAAACAATGGGAGGCTTCATTTTTTCAGGAGAATCAAAGGAAACCAAACAAGGTAATTTGAACGTTAAGGGGTCTATCTACACCAGTGGTTCTCAACCTGGGGGTCGGGACCCCTAGGAGGGTCGCGAGGAGGTGTCAGAGGGGTCACCAAAGACCTTCAGAAAACACAGTATTTTCTGTTGGTCATGGGGGTTCTGTGCCAAGGTTGGTTCAATTCTATCATTGATAGGGTTCAGAATGCTCTTTGATTGTAAGTGAACTATAAATCCCAGCAACTACAACTCCCAACTGTCAATGTCTATTTTCCCCAAATGCCACCAGTGTTCACACTTGGGCATATTGAGTATTTGTGCCAAGTTTGGTCCAGATCCATCATTGTCTCTGGATGTAGGTGAACTACAGCTCCAAAACTCAAGGTCAATGCCCATCACACCCTTGTCTGGATGTAGGAACTACAGCTCCAAAACTCAAGGTCAATGCCCACCAAACACTTCCATTATTTTCTGTTGATCATGGGAGTTCTGTGTGCCAAGTTTGGTTCAATTCCATCATTGGTGGGGTTCAGAATGCTCTTTGATTGTAGGTGAACTATAAATGAAGGCAACTACAACTCCCAAATGACATAATCAATCCCGCGCCCAATCCCAGTAGTATTCAAATTTGGGTGTTTTGGGTATTTGTGCCAAATTTGGTCCAGTGAATGAAAATACATCTTGCATATTGGATATTTACATTACAATGTATTGTCGAAGGCTTTCATGGCTGGAATCACTAGGTTCTTGTGGGGTTTTTTCGGGCTATATGGCCATGTTCTAGATGCATTTTCTCCTGACGTTTCGCCTGCATCTATGGCAAGCATCCTCAGAGGTAGTGAGGTCTGTTGGAAATAGGAAAATGGGGTTATATATCTGTGGAATGACCAGGGTGGGGCAAAGGAGCTCTTCTCTGCTGGAGCTGGGTGTGAATGTTTCAACTGACCACCTTCATTAGCAATTGAAGGCCTGGCTGAGCCTGGGGGAATCTTTTGTTGAGAGGTGTTAAGATGTGCCTGGTTGTTTCCTCTCTGCTGTTTTGCTGTTGTAATTTTAGAGTCTGGCTACCAGTATTATAAAACTCTAAAATTACAACAGCAAAACAGCAGAGAGGAAACAACCAGGCACATCTTAACACCTCTCAACACAAGATTCCCCCAGGCTCAGCCAGGCCTTCAAATTCTAATGAAGGTGGTCAGTTGAAACATCCACACCTAGCTCCAGCAGAGAAGAGCTCCTTTGCCCCACCCCAGCCATTCCACAGATATATAAACCCATTGTCCTAATTCCAACAGACCTCACTACCTCTGAGGATGCTTGCCATAGATGCAGGCGAAACATCAGGAGAAAATGCCTCTAAAACATGGCCATATAGCCCAAAAAACCCCACAAAAACCTATTTACATTACAGTTAATAACCGTAGCAAAATTACAGTTATGAAGCAGCAACGAAAATAATGTTATGGTTGGGGGTCACCACAACATGAGAAAGTGTATTAAGGGGTCACGGCATTAGGAAGGTTGAGAAATACTGATCTACACTATAGTTATAATGCAGATTGAGCTGCATTGTACGGTCAGTGTATAACGCAATTTAACTGCATTGAACTGGGTTATATGACCATATAGTGCAATTATAATGGTAGTGTTGACGGGGCCTGGGTGGCAACTCAGAGTGAATCTTTACTGTAGAATGAATGCAGTTTTGACAACACTTTAACTGCCATGGCTCTATGTTATGGAATCTGTAGTTTAGCAAGAGAAGGCTTGAGATACAGCGGTATATAAGCAAAGTAAATAAATAAATAAATAAATAAGGCTATTATTATTGTATATTATATATGTTATTATGTAATATATAATATTATATATTAATATGTAATATATATATATATACACACACACATATACATACATATTATAATTGTTGATTTTGTCTGCTGTATATAGAATCATAGAATCATAGAATCAAAGAGTTGGAAGAGACCTCATGGGCCATCCAGTCCAACCCCGTTCTGCCAAGAAGCAGGAATATTGCATTCAAATCACCCCTGACAGATGGCCATCCAGCCTCTGTTTAAAAGCTTCCAAAGAAGGAGCCTCCACCACACTCCGGGGCAGAGAGTTCCACTGCTGAACGGCTCTCACAGTCAGGAAGTTCTTCCTCATGTTCAGATGGAATCTCCTTTCTTGTAGTTTGAAGCCATTGTTCCATGTCCTAGTCTCCAGGGCAGCAGAAAACAAGCTTGCTCCCTCATCCCTGTGGCTTCCTCTCACATATTTATACATGGCTATCATATCTCCTCTCAGCCTTCTCTTCTTCAGGCTAAACATGCCCAGCTCCTTAAGCCGCTCCTCATAGGGCTTGTTCTCCAGACCCTTGATCATTTTAGTTGCCCTCCTCTGGACACATTCCAGCTTGTCAATATCTCTCTTGAATTGTGGTGCCCAGAATTGGACAATATTCCAGGTGTGGTCTAACCAAAGCAGAATAGAGGGGTAGCATGACTTCCCTAGATCTAGACACTATGCTCCTATTGATGCAGGCCAAAATCCCATTGGCTTTTTTTGCCGCCACATCACATTGTTGGCTCGTTTAACTTGTTGTCCACAAGGACTCCAAGATCTTTTTCACACGTACTGCTCTCAAGCCAGGCTATCGTCCCCCATTCTGTCTCTTTGCATTTCGTTTTTTCTGCCTAAGTGGAGTATCTTGCATTTGTCACTGTTGAACTTCATTTTGTTAGTTTTGGCCAATCATCTCTCTAATCTGTCAAGATCGTTTTGAATCCTGCTCCTGTCCCCTGGAGTACTGGCTATCCCTCCCAATTTGGTGTCGTCTGCAAACTTGATGATCCTGCCTCCTAGCCCTTCATCTAAGTCATTAATAAAGATGTTGAACAGGACCGGGCCCAGGGGGAAACCCTGCTGATGGCACTCCACTTGTCACTTCCTACCAAGATAGCCTGGGAGCCGGAGCAGCTGGACGAGGAGACCAGGCGCCCCCCCCCCCCCCCCGCCCGCCCCGCCCCCCCGCCCCCCCCGCCCGGCGCCGGGGCCGGCCGGCCCGCCCGCCCGCGGGCCACCGCCACCGGCGCCCCCCAGGCGGCGCCCGGCCGGGGCAGCTCAGGCCGCCAAGGGGCCCCACCACAGACGCCCCGGCGCGCCCCAGCCGCCGCCGGCCCTCGCCGGGACCGGGGCCCAGGACTTAATTGCTTATGACATTGTTGTGATAACTTGTATTGTGTAAACCGCATTGAGTCGCCTGATTGGGCTGAAAAATGCGGTATAGAAATAAAGCAAATAATAATAATAATAATAATAATTACTGTTATTATAATAATATTTATTTATAATCTGTTTTATGTCTCCCGAAGGAGACTCAAAGTGGCTTAAGCTAAAAGCATTGCCATGTCATTTAAAATATACAAATATGCAAACATTAAAACAGAATTAAATATAAACAGTATTTTAAAAAACACAGTTAAAAATCCATTAAAACATATTCAGAGTTAAACAACCTCAGACTAGACTTCTAATATTTAGACTAGAATTCCCAGGACTCCTTAGCATTGAGCCATGGCAGTTAAAGTGGTATCAAACTGCAGTAGCTTTACGGTGTAGACATGCTGTCAGAGTATTACTACAAGGCAGGTCTATTTTCCAAGCCATTTCCCAACAAATCTGCTTTTATATCCTAGGAGGATGTGATGGGAGCTCCAACAGAGATCAAAAGTAAGTGCAGCTCTTTTCTGGAGTATGCTATATTTTAATATTTAACCACATCAAGTGTTTGTTTCTTTTGTTAATCATTTAAATTGTCAGGCATCTTTTGCAAATAAGTTTGCTGTCAGAGCCACTGGTTTAAGATACAAGAATTCCTAGAATTCTGTATTTAAAATCCTATATAATAGTTGCCAGTTTATTTATTTCTCGTGTCAGGGCAACCAGTCAATTATATTACATTTCTAACAGAAGAAAGCAAACAAACAAACAAAATACAAAATTTGTGAGTTTGGTAGTTGATTAAATGTCCTTTGACCAGTATCTGGCCACTTGGAGTGCCTCTGGTGTTGCAGCAAGGAGGTCCTCCATTGTGCATGTGGCAGGGCTCAGGTGCATTGCAGCAGGTGGTCAGTGGTTTGCTCTTCTCCACACTCGCATGTCGTGGATTCCACTTTCTGGTTGGCTCTGCATCTCGTGGTGCCAGAGCGCAGTCTGTTCAGCGCCTTCCAAGTCGCCCAGTCTTCTGTGTGCCCAGGGGGGAGTCTCTCATCTGCTATCAGCCATTGGTTGAGGTTCTGGTTCTGCCACTTTTGGACTCTCGCTTGCTGAGGTGTTCCAGCGAGTGTCTCTGTAGATCTTAGAAAACTATTTCTAGATTTAAGTTGTTGACGTGCTGGCTGATACCCAAACGGGATGAGCTGGAGATGTCTCTGCCTTGGTCCTTTCACTATTGGCTGCTACTTCCCGGCGGATGTCAGGTGGTGCGATACCGGCTAGACAGTGTAGTTTCTCCAGTGGTGTAGGGCGCAGACACCCCGGGATAATGCGGCATGTCTCATTAAGAGCCACATCCACTGTTTTAGTGTGGTGAGATGTGTTCCACACTGGGCATGCATACTCAGCAGCGGAGTAGCACAGCGCAAGGGCAGATGTCTTCACTGTTGCCAGTTGAAAGGACAGTATCCTGTCTTGGCTTTGCTAATTTAGCTCACATTCTTGCCCCATATTTTAATACATCTTTTCTATATTAGATTTCACCCCCATATGTGTTGTTGTTGTTGTTGTTGTTGTTATTTTATTTATTTATACTCTGCTTTATCTCTCCAAAGGGGACCCAAAGCGGTTTGACATAAAAGCATGAGTATACAATTTAAAATATGCACATATATAAACATTAAAACTGAATTAAACACAAACCACTTAAAAATTCACAGTTAAAATCCATCAAAAACATGTTCTCACTGCCCTCATAACCTCAATGCTCTCGATGCAAAATTAAACTCCCCCAAAAGCTAAATATAGACTGAATCCAATATGGGGGTAGATCTGTGGACATTAATGGGACTCCTATCTAACCAAAGCCATGCTTGTAACTAATCTAAATTATATTGAATGCCTTGAGTAATATATTTTGCTACAGTATTGTCTGGAAGAAGTTGTTTATTTCAATAGGTTTTGCTGTCATCTGTGGTTTCAGGAATGTGGGATGTAAATGGATATGTGCCGTCGCGCCTGGGGGCTATAACTCTTAGTGAAAGAGGCATGGACGTGGCATCTTTCCCCAGGGGATTGCTTCTTGCCCTCCTATAGGAAACTGGAACTCCCAAAGACCAAAAACATAACAGATAACTCGAAATGGTATTTATTGTTCACAATGAGTTATCTTTCTCAGGCATAAGCTTGATGTTTCAACAGGGATAAAGGAAATATACTTTACAATCTCTGAAGTCCAAGGAGTTTGCAGCTGAGAAGCTTTTCCTGTTTCCTCTTTCCTCAATGTCTGTGAATATCGGAATAAACACAATCCCAGTCCAATGGCCTATGTTGAAGGGACAAGACCTTCCTCTGGTGCCAAAAGAACTGGTTTGAAGGCGCTTGGGTCTCCTCAATGTTGTCCAGGATGATCTGGACATAAAGCATGAGTCCCAAGGGTAAAAAACCTCAGAATTGGTGCTGAGAGGTAATTTAATCAGGGTCTTTTAGAGTCAAGTCTCTTACTCACGTCCATCTGATAGAAACTCTGATGGCAGAATGAAAAAAGGAAGCACTCCCCTCCTCCAGGAAGAGGTGGAGCCAAACAATTGAGCTTGAGAAAGCAATTCAACTGGTGCAAACAACACTGATTGACAGCTATAAATAACCAATCAATCCAACTATACATAAGCAGGGTAAAAAGGCAGGATTAAGCATGATACAACAGTTTAAATCTTGCAACTAACAGTTCTACACATAGGTGGCACCACTCACTCCGTCACAGGATAAAACAATAACAATAGATTTTTTGGGTAAGATTTACTAAGTATGGATCTATCCTAGAATCATCATAGAGATGGAAAGAGGCCACAAAAGCCATCCAGGAAAGTCCCCTAGGAATATTTTGAAAGATGTTTAATACTTGGAATTCTGGTCGCTTCTGGAATTTTGTGGTTTGTTTGTTTGTTTGTTAAAAATGCAATACAACTGTTTGGTTTGCTCCTGACACGATAAATAAATAAATACTTGGAATCTCTACTTAATTCTGCTTCTGTTTTCCCTGAACCAATGAAATACACAGATTGCACTAGTCTTAATGCAGTTTATTTTCAGAATGGATGTCAACTAAAGTGGTGTCAAACTGCATTAAGTCATGTGTAGATGCATCCTGAGCTTCCTTTTAGCAGGCACGTTCCAACTTCCTCAGTCATTTATCTCTTGTCCAGTTCCCACATCTTTCTCTGAATAATTGGGGTTTATGACAATACTAGCCGTCCCCTACCATGTGTTGCTGTAGCCCAGTCTGTGTATATGAGCTTTGTGTATGTATGTATTTGTGTTTTTGTGTATATATGTGTGTTTGCATATATGGGGTTTTGTAATGCATTTTTTATTTTATTTTTTGCTTTTTAAGTCCCTTCCGCTGTGTTTTTATGAGTGATGGTCATTTGTTGGCCTGATAGGACCCAGAATCACTGGGTTTTTGTAGGTTTTTTCTGGCTATATGACTATGGTCTAGAGGCATTCTCTTCTGATGTTTCGCCTGCATCTATGGCAAGCATCCTCAGAGATAGTGAGGTCTTTTTCCTAGTTCCAACTCTAAAATTACAACAGCAAAACAACAGAGAGGAAACAATCTGGGATATCTAATCACCTCTCAACAAAAGATTGCCCCAAGCACTGCCAGGCCATCAAATGCTAATCAAGGTGGCCAGTTGAAACATTCACACCTAGCTCCAACAGACCAGAGTCCTTTGTCCCACCCTGGTCATTCCACAGATATATAAACCCATTTTCCTAGTTCCAACAGACCTCACTACCTCTGAGGATGCTTGCCATAGATGTAGGCGAAACGTCAGGAGAGAATGCCTCTAGACCATGGCCATATAGCCCGAAAAAACCTACAACAACCCACCTCTGAGGATGTTTTCTACAGACGCAGGCAAAACATCAGGAGATAATGTTACTGGAACATAGCCATACAGCCTGAAAAATTCACAACCACACAAATCCTTGGTTTGCTCAGAGGTCATTCTCAACTGGTGTTTGTGCACAGACCTATACAGAGAATACAAAGCAATGAGAGAAACCAAGGAGCAGCGTCAAGGTCTCTCCGTTTCTGAAGACATCTCCCAGAAAAGCACAGAGGAACCTGCAGCAACAGACAAGGTAAGAAATGGCCACCTGGCCTTTGCAGATTCCATGCTCTTTGTGGCTTTTCCTAATCCAGCTTCTGCTCAAAAACCTCTAGAGAAGGAAACTCCACTGGTGACAACTTTTCCATTGCTGAACAGAGGTTCTTCATAATTTTTAGGCTCCATTATTTATGTAACAGAAATACAACCTTCCCACTTCCTCCTCAATGGGACATCCATTCAGATATTTATACGTGGCTGTCATGTCCACTATTAACTTTCCCTTCTCCAGCTCTTTAAGCCTCTCTTCAGAGGGATTCATAGTTTCCTCCGCATTTTCGGGGTTTTTTTTATGTAATTGTTGTTTTGGGCTTGGCCTCATGTAAGCCGCACCGAGTCCCCATTGGGGAGATGGTGCGGGGTACAAATAAAGTTTATTATTATTATTATTATTATTATTTCCAGACCTTTTACTTTTTTCCCAGGTTTCAAAGTCACACTTGTGCAAAGTCCCTTATATTTGTATGACTCACTAACAGCCTGTTTTCTATTCTTGTGAATTTGTTATTGTTATGTACTAGGCCTGTGTAACAACGGAAAAATTTGTTTCTAAAATCGATTCGTTTTTTGGGGTTTTTTGCGTTTCGTTATTTAAAATAATTACAAAATTTTCCTTAAAAAAAGTTTGATATTTACGAAATTTCGTAAATGGTAAAAAAATTACAAAACAATAACGAAACAATAACGAATCGATTCGTTAATGGCGGCCGCGATCGCGCAATACGCTAAAAAACTTCTGAAGCTTCCCTCTCCCTCTGTTGTTGACTGTTGGTGTGATATTATAATTTTTTTTCACTAATTAAACAAAAAACAACTATAAAACTTGCCCCAGACATGCGGAAATAATAACGGAACGACCTCAAACCGATAACGAAACGAATACATAACGAATCCGAAGCATTTACGAAACGAATTTAAAAATTCGTTTCGTTTTTAAGTTGCCCCAGAATGGTTCTTTATCGCTTCGTTAACGAAAAATTAACGAATTTTTAACGAATTACGAATTAATGAAACGAAACCGCCCAGCCCTATTATGTACCATCAGGTTGACACTACTGCCTTCTCAGGCCTTGCAAACCCAGGACAGCCATGGCTTCCTTGATGGAGTTCATGCATCTGTGATGCACTTTCCCCCTTCTTCTCATTACTTCCCATTATTCTCAGTATTACAGTCTCTGTCCAAAATGCAAATAGCTTTAGGTTAATCACTTTTTTAAGTCAGCCCTCCCTCCAGGTGTTTTGGACTTTAACTCCCACAATTTCTTTGGGGAAGTCTTTCCTTTCACCTCTATCATTATCTCAGTCCCGCCTTGTGGGAAGAAGGGGGAGAGCCTTTTCCTCAGTGGCTCCCCGGCTATCGAATACACTGCCTGGTGAGATTAGGTGAGCTCCCACCTTAGAAAGTTTTAAGAAGAATCTCAAAACCTGGCTCTTCCGCTGTGCTTTTGGAGATTAACTATATAATCTCACTTCACCATTTACCCTTAATTTTGTCTACAGTGCACCCTTTATATGAAGGTCCTTTTTTCTTGACTCCATTTCGGAAGAGTACCTCCCTCACAAATAAGTTGCTCCACTGCTATCTCACTTTTGTTTTTATCCCCAGTATTTTAATTTGTGCATACAGCCCGCTCATTGTTTTAGATCTTGAATGGTTTTATTCTATTGTATATTTGTTGTGATATTTTTATAGTGTATGTTTTACGTAAAGCCAATGGGATTTTGGCCTGCATCAATAGGAGCATAGTGTCTAGATCTAGGGAAGTAATGCTACCCCTCTATTCTGCCTTGGTTAGACCACACCTGGAATATTGTGTCCAATTCTGGGCACCACAATTCAAGAGAGATATTGACAAGCTGGAATGTGTCCAGAGGAGGGCGACTAAAATGATAAAGGGTCTGGAGAACAAGCCCTATGAGGAGCGGCTTAAGGAGCTGGGCATGTTTAGCCTGAAGAAGAGAAGGCTGAGAGGAGATATGATAGCCATGTATAAATATGTGAGAGGAAGTCACAGGGAGGAGGGAGCAAGCTTGTTTTCTGCTTTCCTGGAGACTAGGACGCAATGGAACAATGGCTTCAAACTACAAGAAAGGAGATTCCATCTGAACATTAGGAAGAACTTCCTGACTGTGAGAGCCGTTCAGCAGTGGAACTCTCTGCCCCGGAGTGTGGTGGAGGCTCCTTCTTTGGAAGCTTTTAAACAGAGGCGGGATGGCCATCTGTCAGGGGTGCTTTGAATGCAATATTCCTGCTTCTTGGCATGGGGTTGGACTGGATGGCCCATGAGGTCTCTTCCAACTCTTATGATTCTATGATTCTATGATTCTAATTGATTATGTTGTTGTTTATGTTCTGATCTTATTTTGTTGCTGTGTTGTTGGGCTTGGCCTCATGTAAGCTGTTCCGAGTCCCTTGGGGAGATGGTGGCGGGGTACAAATAAAGTATTATTATTATTATTATTATTATTATTATTATTATTTTAACAGCTGGCAGGCTGTTAAGAATTGTGGGAGTTGAAGTCCAAAAGACCTGGAGGGCCCAAGTTTTCCCATGCTTGCATTAAATAGATACTCTAGCCAGGACTGTCAATGGGGCCTGTTGTCTTTGCGTGTTCCTAGGTGACCGACTCCAGCTGCTGGGGAGCACACCTGAATCGAAGCTTGGTGGCTCCGAAAGCAAGGCCACGGAATCAGAACACGCTTCAAGGTTCGGCTCAGTACTTTGGCATGAAGCTGAAATGCAACCTGGGAACAGCTATTAAGGTAGCTATGTGTGTGAGAGATTGCATGCATTTGGCAGGGCTGTATTGCTTTGGGTTTTTTTGTACAGTTCACATTCATGTCATTAGATGAAAAATGGAAACCACATCTAACTGTAGCCTTTGAGCACAAGCTAGGAAAGAGAAAGCTTCCTTGTAAAAGAAAACGGCTGAAGGTTAATTAGTTCTAAACGCTGCCTCCTCTAGATATGCATCTGTGCTGTAGATTTAATGCAGTTTGACACCCCTTTAATTGTCGTGGCTCAAAGCTATGGGATCCTGGGATTTGTAGTTTGATGAAGCCCCAATACTCTTTGGAAGAGAAGTCTAAGGACCTTCTAAAGCGAAAACACCCACAATTCCATAGTATTGAGTGATAGCAGTTAAAATCTATGTCTTCAGGCCCATGTGTGCTAATATCCTCCGATTTCACTGGATTTAGAGCCACAATTCTCTTGCAAAGTGAGGAATGTGCCATTTAAAACTGCTATTTTTTTACCTTAAGTGGCTGAGGGGGGAAAGGAAGGAGGCTGAGGCTGTTAGGAATTGTGAGAATTGAAATTATTATTATTATTTGAAACACAACAAGATGAGTCCACAGCAGACACTCTGCTGGCTGTTGAATTGGATCACTCATCGGAAATTTGCCAAGTGTCTAGGACTGTGTGTTGTATCGGCGAATAATTTGTGCAGAGCCCAGTAAGGTGGACTTTTGCAGCTGGCAGAAGGTAATCTAGTCAGTGTCGATTGTGTTTAAGTGCAGGCCAAGGTATTTAGGCAATGCACCCAGTGTGCCAATCACCACTGGGACCACCTTGACTGGCTTGTGCCAGAGTCTTTGCAGTTCGATCTTTAAATCCTCATATTGTGTCAGCTTTTCCAGTTGTTTCTCTTCAATCCTGCTGTCACCTGGGATTGCAACATCAACGATCCATACTTTGTTTTGGTAAATTATTATTATTATTGTATTGTCGAAGGCTTTCATGGCCGGAATCACTGGGTTGATGTAGGTTTTTTCGGGCTATATGGTCATGTTCCAGAGGCATTTTCTCCTGATGTTTCACCTACATCTATGGCAAGCATCCTCAGAGGTAGTGAGGTTTATTATGTTTGATCTTTAAATCAGAGGTAGTGAGGTTTATTATGTTTATTATATATCCTCACTACCTCTGAGGATGCCTGCCATAGATGCAGGCGAAACGTCAGGAGAGAATGCCTTTAGACCATGGCCATATAGCCTGGAAAAACCTACAACAACCCATTATTACTATTATTATTATTATTATTATTATTATTATTATTATTATCATCATTATTATCTGCTTTTGTATACCGCTTTTTCACCCCTGGGGGGACTCAAAGAGGTTTACAACATAATAAATGGCAAATTCAATGCCTTACATATATATAAAAATATCATATATTTAAATCAATAACATATAACTGTAGAAAACCATTAAAACTATAAAAACATCAAGCATAGACATAAGCATGAAACATATTATTTCTGCAATTAACAATGTAGACCCCCTCTCTTCCCCACTCCCCAACTCTCTCTCCATAGCATTTCAGCCCTTTCTTTTTATACCCTCCCTGCTCCCCCCACATCCCAAAAGAGACACAAATAGTTTGTGGGTTTTTTCGGGCTATATGGCCATGTTCTAGAAGCATTTCTCCTGACGTTTCGCCTGCATCTATGGCAAGCTTCCTCAGAGGTGAGGTCTGAGGTGAGACACAAAGCTATTTAGGTACAGATTGAATACAAAATACCTGGAAGACCCAAACTTGCCCATGCCTGATCTAAACATAATTTCACTCTTCATCTTAGGAACGTCCTGTGAATCTAAGGAAATCCCTCACCCCAAGGAGGAGGGCCATCACATTCATGGAGAAGAATCCACCCCAGATGGCAAAGGCTGCGTCTCCCATCGCAGCAACGGACACTCTGCTAGAAAGTGATACAGAGCAACTCCTGGATCCTGATCCCATGGAAATGGCTGCCCTTATCCCTCCTGCCTTTGCAAGTTTGAGCCCTGCCCGGTTGCCTGTCGTTGATGCCAAACCGAGGCTGTTGCCCCTTGGTAAGTTTCAGCAGCTGAAAGAGACAGTGACCAAGAGACTGACCAGCCTGGATCCTGGTTGGCTGGATAGGTGCGGATTAAAGGCCGGAGTGGGACTAATGGGAGATGGCAACCAAGTCTCAGTGGATAGGACAGACTCAAGCCAGGGCTCTCTGAAAATCACTTATCTGGAAAATGGAGAGAAGAAAGGGGAGGCACGTGAGTCTGATTCTGCTGAGATAGACTGTGAAGGAGGTGTGACGGAGAGGACTAATATTACAGATGGTTGCAAGCAAAGTGGGCGAGGTAAAGAGATAGCACTTACATCTCCAAGGACAGAGGAGGCAAACTTAGCACTCGTTGAAACCAAAGCTGAGATTTCTGAACTGGAAGTTTGCACCAAGAATGCGCCTTTCCAAATGGAGGAATGTGTCGTAGAAGGAATGTCATCAAAGCAGATGGGAGTCGGGATCTGTGAAGCTGAGAATGGGGTGCCTGATCCCCCCAAGAAGAGGAAGTCCTATCGCAAGAAGGAGCTTCAGGAAGGTGAAGATGGCGCAGTCAGTCCCAAAGGAAGCAAATCACAAGTGAAGCGAAAGAGGACTAAACAACCTGCAGGGGAAAGCCGGGCCAAAAAGCAACGTAATGTTGGTCCAAAACCAGGAGTCAGCGATTATGATTTCGATGCTCAAGATGCTGCAGAGGTGCATGAACAAGAGGGGGAACCTGCCCCGTTTCCCTCGGAAAATCTCCTGGGGGAAGTCATAGAAGAGGATGATTCCAAGGCCAAGTGGAGATCCAGCATCCCACCACGCAAGTAGGTCCTTGGGAAGAAAGGCATTGTATACTCTATTTGTTTAATTTATACTATTTATTTATTTGTTTACTAGACGTCCCCTGCCACACATTGCTGTGGCCCACATGGGGGTTCTGTTTGAGAGGTTTGGCCCAATTCTATCGTTGGTGGGGTTCAGAATGCTCTGTGATTGTAGGTGAACTATAAATCCCAGCAACTACAACTCCCAAATGTCAAGATTGTATTTCCCCCAAACTCCACCACTGTTCACATTTGGGCATATTGAGTATTCGTGTAGAGTTTGGTCCAGATCCATCTTTGTTAGAGTCCATAGTGCTGTCTGGATGTAGGTGAACTATAATTCCAAAACCAAAGGGCACTGGGATTAACAGAACTCAAAAACCATTGAGCGAATTGCCGCCAATTTTGGCCACAAGACACCTACTAACTCAAGGAGTGACAATCACTCAAAAATTGATTTTGTCATTTAGGAGTTGTAGTTGTTGGGATTTATAGTTCACATACAATCAAAAAGCATTCTGATCTCCACCCATGAAAGAATAGAACCAAACGTGGCACACAGGGCTCCCATGACAAACAGAAAAGACTGGAAGGATTTGGTGGGCATAGACCTTGATTTTTGGAGTTGTAGTTCACCTACATCCAGGGAGCACTGTGGACTCAATCAAAGATCTGGACCAAACTTGGCACGAATATTCCATATGCCCAGATATGAACACAGATGGACTTTGGGGGAAATAGACCTTGATATTTGGGAGTTGTAATTACTGGGATTTATAGCTCACCTACAATCAAAGAGCATTCTGAACCCCATGAACGACAGGATTGGGCCAAACTTCCCACACTGAGCCCCCATAACCAACAGAAAACATTTAAGGCGTCCAACTCCCTTCACCAGGGCAAGAAAACGTAATCAAAGCCCTCCTGACAAAGAGTCATCCAGCTATAGGTATAGATAGATAGATATGATTCACACACAGAGAGAGATATAGTATCATAGATTTGAAAGGGACCCTTAAAGAAGGACAATGATATGTTGCATGTTCCAGAGGAGGCCAACCAGACACTCTCCACATCAACACTGACAAAGAAACAACAAGAAATACTATTTACCCACAAGCATAAAAAATTACATATATTACAAACCCAGACTTTATTTATTATTATTTTATTTAATTAAAATATTTCTATCCCGCCCTTCTCCCCACGAAGGGGACTCAGCGCGGCCTCACATGAGCATCAGAGGATGCGAACAGCATAAATACCATAAAATTACAATTCACAATAAAATCATTTTAAAACATTGTACAAGATCATCGGTAAAATTTAACAATAAAGGAATAGATCAACGTGCCAGTAAAAACCAAGCCGAGCCGGGAGAATCCATGTCACAAAATCCAAATTTCCTTTCCTATTGCCGCTGGCCTCTAATCGAACGCCTGGTCCCAAAGCCAGGAGGGAGGTGGCCAACCTGATGTCCTTAGGGAGACAGTTCCACAGATGGGGGGGCCACTGCCGAGAAGGCCCTGTCTCTCGTCCCCACCAACCGCATTTGCGAGAGTGGTGGGATTGAGAGCAGGGCCTATCCTGATGGTTCACAGCAGGAGATACGTTTGGACAGGTAATCATTACTTTATTTTCCAGGTGACCAGACTGGGCCACAGCAATGTGTGGCAGGGGATGGCTAGTCTAAATAAATAAACATGTAATATTCTAGGTTCTTGTGGGTTTTTTCGGGCTATAGGTCCATGTTCTAGAGGCATTTCTCCTGACGTTTCGCCTGCATCTATGGCAAGCATCCTCAGAGGTAGTGAGGTCTGTTGGAATTAGGACAATGGGTTTATATATCTGCGGAATGGCTGGGGTGGGGCAAAGGACTCTTGTCTGCTGGAGATAGGTGTGAATGTTTCAACTGATCACCTTGATTAGCATTTGATGGCCTGACAGTTTTTTGGTGTATTGGGTATTTTTGATGCCTTTGGGTCCTTGGGAAACATTCACACCTAGCTCCAGCAGACAAGAGTCCTTTGTCTCACCCTGGTCATTCCACAGATATACAAACCCTTTTCCTAGTTCCAACAGAGGATGCTTGCCATAGATGCAGGCGAAACGTCAGGAGAAATGCCTCTCGAACATGGCCCTATAGCCAGAAAAAACCCACAAGAACCTAGTGATTCCAGCCATGAAAGCCTTCGACAATACAATGTAATATTCGTTTGTGGGATTAACATAACTCAAAAACCACTAGACGAATTGACACCAAATTTGGACACAATACAACTATCAGACCAACAAGTAACCATCACTCATAAAAACATAGAAAAACAGAAGAGACTTTAAAAGCCCCCCCCCTCAAATTATATTACAATGCATGTGCAAAACCACATATATACACAAACACATATATACTATTGCAGCCTCCCAACACACAGTTTACAAAGCGCTGGGGGTAGGTGCAATGGATTACAATATTGTCATTTTCACATAGGGTGGTTCTCTGTTTCTAGGTCTGCGCCAAAGCAGGGCGGCAACTTCGTCTGTCTGAACCTCAAGAAAAGGTCCCACGTCAAAGGGTTTGCGCTGAGAGGGAAACACCTGCGGAAGCAAGTAAGTGGCCCGAAAGTTCACAATGTTCATGGGAGAGAGAAAACAACAAGAGCAACAACACAATAACATTTCTGGGCCTTTCTGCAGGGCCATCACTTAGGAAACATTTTATGATACCAATAAAGCAGGCATGGGCCAGCTTGGGCCCTCCAGGTGTTTTGGACTACAACTCCCACAATTCCTAACAGCCTATCGACTGTTAGGAATTGTGGGAGTTGTAGTCCAAAACACCTGGAGGGCCCAAGCTGGCCCATGCCTGTTTTAGAGCATCTCAGGTAGCAAGTACCACCTGTATATCTCCTTTTAACAATATTATTTCAAACAATTTCTCAAAGTAAACATGAAACTCTTTGTCCAGACCTTCTCCTGTTGTTCCAATTGGATCTTGAGCACATTGCACAGTGCTTCACTTCTTCTTCTTCTACTTCATATTTATTTACATTTTGGCTATCAAATGATCATTACCTGAGCTCAATACGTTTTCAAACTCTTCTTTAACTGTTTCAAATTGCTGCAATCCAGAACAGGAATAGCCCTCTGACTTTAAAACACCACACATTGAGTAGGAAAACAATGATTTTATTTGAAGATAGGTAAAAACAGCAGAGTAGAAAAACACTTTAAGGGAATAGGTAAATCCAATTAGGTTAGAAGATAAGCAGGAACAAATTAGTCCAAGGTATGGTTCAGCAAGATTCGAAACAAAATCCAAACTTCTCAAATAAAATACAAAGAAACAGGGAAATGTTGATCCAAGGCATGAATAGGTAATCACAAGAGACAAAGAGTCAAGCCGTTCAGCAAGAAATCCTTAAACATTAATCTTCCAGGCAAGGCTTTCATGGGACAAGACAAGAACTTAGCAGGGATCTGAAACATATGGTAATATTTTCCATGCCTAGAACTTTTAAACCTTTCCAAGCACACAGAAACTGGTTTCGCTTTCCTTTAATGGCCCTTATCTGTTTGTGTTGAAGCCTGGCAGAACGCCGAAGGCCTTGCTCGGCCTGTCTGTTTTGACTAATTTCCGCCTGCCTATCTCTGTGCTCATTAGTCTCCACAAGTGCCAGGTTGTTTTAAAGCCCCAAATCCTGGGAACTGTCTGCAAGTACCAGCTGCGCCTGTACCTTGGGAAGTCTGATCTGGCCACGGTGGTCCACGCTCAGGTTACATCCCAAATAGACTACTGCAACACGCTCTACGTGGGGCTGCCTTTGAAGACGGTTCGGAAACTTCAGTTAGTTCAATGGGCAGCAGCCAGATTATTAACTGGGGCGGCATACAGGGAGCATAGCACCACCACCCCTTGTTATGCCAGCTCCACTCGCTGCCGGTCCATCTCCGAGCCCAATTCAAAGTGCTGGTTTTGACCTATAAAGCTATATACAGTTCGGACCCAGCTTACTTGTCCGAACGCATCTGCCCCTACATCCCACCTCGCAATTTAAGATGATCCGGGGAGGCCCTGCTCTCGCTCCCGTCAACAGTGCCAATGCGGTTGGCGGGGACTAGGAGCAGGGCCTTCTCAGCTGTGGCCCCCCACCTATGGAACACACTCCCAAAGGAGGTAAGATCTGTTCCCTCACTCCTGACCTTTAGAAAAAAAAATAAAATCATGGTTCTGGGACCAGGCCTTCGGACAATAGATGTATGCAGCTTTTAGTGAGACAAGGACTGGAACGGTGACTTGACTGATGAGATTGTTTTATGGCTTTAATAACTGTATTGATTTATGGTGAGGTACTGTTTTTAATACGATTTATGTTTAAAGTGTGGTTTTACTATTGTAGTTGTAAGGCATTGAATTTTTGCCATTATCTATGTGTAAATCGCTTTGATTTACACATTTGATTTACACATAGAAGGATTACAGTCCTTCTAATCAAGGTGAAAGAAGAAAGCGCAAAAGCCGGGTTGCAGCTAAACATCAAAAAAACCAAGATTATGGCAACAAGAATGATTGACAACTGGGAAATAGAGGGAGAAACCGTGGAGGCCGTGACAGACTTTGTATTTCTAGGTGCAAAGATTACTGCAGATGCAGACTGTGGCCAGGAAATCAGAAGGCGATATGTTGTACACCGCCGCGAGTCGCCCTAGGGCTGAGAGCGGTGGTCAATAAATGCAGCAAATAAATAATAAATAAATAAGGCGATTACTTCTTGGGAGGAGAGCAATGTCCAGTCTCAATAAAATAGTAAAGAGTAGAGACATCAGACTGGCAACAAAGATCCGCCTAGTCAAAGCCATGGTATTCCCTGTAGTAACCTACGGATGTGAGAGCTGGACCTTAGGGAAGGCTGAGCGAAGGAAGAGAGATGCTTTTGAGCTGTCATGTTGGAGGAAAGTGCTGAGAGTGCCTTGGACTGCGAGAAGATCCAACCAGTCCATCCTCCAGGAAATAAAGCCCGACTGCTCACTGGAGGGAAGGATATTAGAGGCAAAGATGAAGTACTTTGGACACATCATGAGAAGACAGGAAAGCTTGGAGAAGACAATGATGCTGGGGAAAATGGAAGGAAAAAGGAAGAGGGGTCGACCAAGGGCAAGATGGATGGATGGCATCCTTGAAGTGACTGGACTGACCTTGAAGGAGCTGGGGGTGGTGACGGCCGACAGGGAGCTCTGGCGTGGGCTGGTCCATGAGGTCACGAAGAGTCGGAGACGACTGAACGAATGAACAACAACAAATTGCTTTGAATCCCCCTCAGGGTGGTAAAAGCGGTATATAAATACTGTAAATGAATAAAATAAATAAGCAATTCAGGGAGTAAACAATCATCCCTATACCCTGTAGGAACATTCTCATGGGAAACTACACTTAGAACAGGTGCCTCTCTGTCATTGTCTGCATCAATATCACTGACCAAACCGTTGCCATCTTGAACCTCATTTACACCATTCCCCACATCCAAAGCAGCCCGATCCTGAAACACAATCATAGGCTGAACTCCAACACAAATCTCATTAGGTTCTTATCTGACTCAGTAATTTATCCATGAGCAAACAGTTGGATAAAGAGAACCAAAGAAGTTACTCCATGATCGACTCCCAATGGAAGCTGAACATAGAATCACATTGGAGGATCTGGTGGTTCCTAGAACAGAACATAAAGAATCCAATCTGCAAATGTAGAACAACATGTTGAGAAAGTCACAAAATGGCCGCCCAACGATAAACACTAAGGAGAACCCAAAATGGCCATTTAAGGATAAGCTGTAAGAAGTCTACAATATGGTCACCCAATGAGGAGTGTTAAGGAGGGCACAAAATGGCCACACAGTAATGAGAGCTAATGAAAACCCAATGTGGCTGCCTAAGAACAAGCACTAAAGAGTCTACAAAAAGGACACCCAAACACAGGTGCTAAGGAAAAACCAATATAACTGCCTGATAAGGAAACAAAATAGCTGCCTACAGAAAAGTGCAAAGGAGAATTTAACATGACCGCCTAAAAATGAGGAAGCAAAATGGCCGCCTACAGATAACTGCAAAGAATAATGTAACATGACCGCCTAAGGATGAGGAAAAAAAATGACCGGCTACACATAAGTGCAAAGGAAAATTTGACATGACCACCTGAGGATAACGAAACAAAATGGCCTCCTACAGATAAGTGCTAAGGAAAATTTAACATGACTGCCTAAGGATGAGGAAACAAAATGGCCGCCTACAGTTAAGTGCAAAGAAAAAGTAAACATGACCTCCTAAGGATGAGGGAACAAAATGGGCGCCTATAGTTAAGTGAAAAGGATAATTTAACGTGACTGCCTAAGGATGGAGAAACAAAATGGCCGCCTACAGTTAAGTGCAAATGAAAATTTAACATGACCTCCTAAGGATAAGGAAACAAAATGGCCACCTACAGTTTAGTGCCAAGGATAATTTAACATGACCGCCTAAAGATGAGAAAACAAAATGGCCGCCTATATTTAAGAGAAAAGGATAATTTAACATGACTGGCTAAAGATGAGGTAACAAAATGGCCGCCTCCAATTAAGTGAAAAGGATAATTTAACATGACTGCCTAAGGATGAGAAAACAAAATGGCCGCCTATAGTTAAGAGAAAAGGATAATTTAACATGACTGCCTAAGGATGAGGAAACAAAATGGCCGCCTATAGTTAAGAGAAAAGGATAATTTAACATGACTGCCTAAGGATGAGGAAACAAAATGGCCGCCTATAGGTAAGAGAAAAGGATAATTTAACATGACTGCTTAAGGATGAAGAAACAAAATGGCCGCCTTTTTCTAAGAGAAAAGCAGAATTTAACATGACTGCCTAAAGATGAGGAAACAAAATGGCCGGCTATAGTTAAGAGAAAAGGATAATTTAACATGACTGCCTAAAGATGAGGAAACAAAATGGCCGCCTTTTTCTAAGAGAAAAGCAGAATTTAACATGACTGCCTAAGGATGTGGAAACAAAATGGCCGCCTATAGTCAAGAGAAAAGGGTCATTTAACATGACTGCCTAAAGATGAGGAAACAAAATGGCCGCCTCTAGTTAAGAGAAAAGGATAATTTAACATGACTGCCTAAAGATGAGGAAACAAAATGGCCGCCTCTAGTTTAGAAAAGGATAATTTAACATGACTGCCTAAAGATGAGGAAACAAAATGGCCGCCTTTTTCTAAGAGAAAAGCAGAATTTAACATGACTGCCTAAGGATGTGGAAAAAAAATGGCCGCCTATAGTCAAGAGAAAAGGGTCATTTAACATGACTGCCTAAGGATGAGAAAACAAAATGGCCGCCTCTAGGTAAGAGAAAAGGGTCATTTAACATGACTGCCTAAGTATGAGAAAACAAAATGGCCGCCTCCAGTTAAGAGAAAAGGATAATTTAACATGACTGCCTAAGGAAGAGGAAACAAAATGGCCGGCTATAGTTAAGAGAAAAGGATAATTTAACATGACTGGCTAAAGATGAGGAAACAAAATGGCCGCCTCTAATTAAGAGAAAAGGATAATTTAACATGACTGCCTAAAGATGAGGAAA